TTCATATTCATGAACGATTTATCGTTTTTTAGTACTGAAGGGCATAGAAAATCTGCCGGAAAAATACATCTAAAGCGATGTTTCATTTTTTTACAACGCTTTACTATGGCTAGCTTAGGTCATGAGAGTGAATCTGGTAAATTTTCTATCTGAACGCACATAAACTGTTGATGCACTCTCTCCCATAAATAATAAATTAGCAAGACCTATGTCAAAATTGAGTTCGATCGAAAAAGTGCACTTGGTCATTTCAGGATGAGTAAAAGTGTGTGAAGCCTCCTGAGTAGACGTGAGATCAAAACCCATGTTATAATGATTATCATAACTAGCGAGACTGATTCCAAGATTAGTGTTCTAAACAAAATCAAGAGCTTCAGGCGTATTGTAGTAAAAAAAAACTTTACGTCTGTTGTTGAGTTTGGATTTTTTGCAATACGTAGGCCGTTTCTTGACACAATGCTCTCATTCAACCAAACTTTTAGTAGGGAAAAGGATTTGTCCTTAATAGTCCACAAAATTGCTTCGTTTCTTCGTTTATTCACATTGCTGCTATCATTCTTCGAACAGGTTCTTTTGCAAAAACATCCTCTCATTGCCAGTTTTGATACCCAGCAGTTGCGAGAAACGTTTTTAGCTCTACCTCGATGTAACTGTAAATGGCCGAGTTCTCCAACATTTTTTTATCTGTATGAGAGAACACAGTTAGCCACAGTCATCTTTCTGACATAGAGATTAGCTTCGATTATGTGAAACTTGTATTGTTCAGCTGCATCTGAAATTGTGACAAAAAAACCGTTCGGAGAAAATCTGAGAGACAATCTCAGATAGCCACACCTCTAGGTAGATGCGTGTCACACGACCAGAAGTCGCAAGTTATTTTACCAAATAGCTTCAGCTCGTTCGAGACCACCATGAGAAATTTTGTGCTCCGTAACATCATCAGCTCTCCAATACCGTCAATAGCTGATGGATTTTCTTCATAATAAAAACCTTGACAAGCCAACTATGTTTTATTAGCACTATAACCGTATGAAAACTCGGACTCATTAAAAATTTTTTGGGCAAAGTTAGCGTTGGTAGTTGATATTTTCTTGCCAGTCAGAGACAACGTAAACTCAGAAAAAAAAGGAGATAATTGATTGTTAATAAATTACGGCGTATCTCGTTTGCGGCCTCTGTATTATGCGTCCGAAGCATTGTTTAATACTTCGAACAACTCGTGCAACTATTTCTAAACGATTACGTTGAAGATCGATGAAGTTGTCCATCAGGAGAGTAGGAAGAGCCAATATTTTTGCGTGAATGCACTTTCAAAAGTGACAAGTAGGGGCGGTTTTTTGAATAAGTCTATCGAGCTGTAAGTTGCTTCACTCGGGATAAAATTGGAAAAAGTTTTAACCCTTGTAAAGAAATCCGAGCGACTTCTCAGTGCGGTTCGTTTTCTGGGAATGATGCGTCTTGTTTTTCGTTTCACCGCCGTTGTTCTTTTCATTTGACTTTTTCGAGTTTCACTTGCTCCTCCTACTTGCTTTTTGATTGTTTTTATTTAGATTCTAATGGATTTCTACTGTCAGTCTCCGTAGATTTCAAAAAAATTGATTACAATCGATTAAAAATTGAGTATAATTGTACTAAATTTTGAAACAATAAAATCCATTATAATCGATTAAGCAGATTATTTTTGAAAGCTTTTTTTTTGTCAAGTTTTATTGAAATGTAATCCATTATACTGAATTAAAATCCATTATTATTCACAACCGTCATTGCTTTATTTCGTTTTCATCTATGTTTTGTTTTGTGTACTTTTCAGTTGGTTGCCGAACTAAACGAAAGAGTAATTTTGTACTTATCGCCAAGGGTGGATTTAGGTGGGGGGGGGGGGGGGGGCGTTACCTCCGCTCCGGGATTCGAACCCCTGCCGACCAAAAAGGTCCCTTTTCAAACTATCTTGAGATATTCATTTTTGGTGAGACGGAGTCTGAAATGTTTCTAAAGGCGCTTTCGTAAAGTTTTTGCGCAACGTTCAAAATTTTGAAAAAACAGTCCAACCAAATCGATTTTTTGGTGAAAAAGTTTTCCAAAACGAGTCTAAAAACTTTTTTTGGCCAGAGGCGCAGACCAAAAAGTCTAAAAACCAAAGAGTCCAAAAAGAGTCTTCAAACGTTTTTTCGAAACTTTGCCTGCGGCACACTGAATATGAATCGGAATTCTGCGTCCTTTTTGTTGCAGCGCCTTGAAGTCATGTAAGAATTTTGTATGCACTTCGTGGTTTTTGGAGCGACCGATACGTGTGCACAACCCCGGGTATGCAGATTTAACCCAATTTGTGATGGCCGTGTCCGATTGTTCTGAATCTGTTATGTAATTGATTGACTTACCAGTTGGTTTTTCCTGCTGAAGGTGGATGCCTAGTTGTGGTAGCAAATTTCTACCCAGTATGTTTGCCCGTTTATCGTCAACCACCACAAATGGCGCCGTGTTCATTGTCCACCCTCCTGATTCTATAGGGGCAATGAGCCTGCCGAACGCCGGGATTTTGTATCCATTGTAGCAGACCATTCTGTTAGCCTCGTCGTTTTGGTTGAGTTGAATTCGTCTAGCTCTCGGCACCGTATTTTCTAATATGACCGCTGTCTTATTGTTTACAAATGACGTTGGAGATCCTGTATCTGCGATGAAAGTAATACTGTTATTACCAATTTTAACTCGAATGAGATGTCCTATTAAATCGTTCGTTGTTAATTTTCCTGCCGTTTCTTCTTCGTAGTGTACAGCATTTACGCTGTTGTCCTCTGGGTGTATGAATTCCCATCCCGGGACGACATCCCCTGCCTGGAGATAGTCAACATACGCCGCTATATCAGTGTCCTGGATGTTTACCTCGGGCTTTGTATCTTCACTGATTGCATTAACGTTTGAGGAATTACAGAGTCTTGCGTAGTGTCCTCTTTTAGTACATTTGTTACAAATTTTGTCTTTTGCCGGGCATTGTTGGAGGTGACCGGGTCCAAACGGATTACCGCACTTAAAACAAGATTGTTTTCTGTCTCTATCTTATCGTTGCGAGCTTCCCCGCTGTGGTTGTCCTCGACCTCTATTGTTTCCCCTTCTATTATTACGGTAAGGGTCCCCTCCTCTTCTTTGAATGAACCCAACTGGTTCCGTTTTTATGCCCGTTTGTTGAGAAGGATTTGAACATTGCTTACGGATTTGAATTTGGTTTTCCAACCCTTTTTCCCTGCGTATTGCATATTCAAACGCTTGCTCCGGGGTTTTTGTCTCGGCTAGTAGGTCTTTTTGTACTTCATCGTTTGTCATATTTGCCGTGAACAAGTCTCGGATAATTTCCGTTTCTAACGCGTTATTGTTACAATTAGGACATTTGAAGTTTCCCTTGATGACCAATTCCGTGAGACCGCAGTGGAACTGTTCCAACGTTTCTGTTTTATTCTGCTTTCTTGTGAAGGCCTCGTATCTGTCAAATGTAACATTACGGTCTTTGATGAAGAGGTGCTCTAATCGATTCCAGAATGCTCTCGTTGATATTTCTTGTATTTTTAGGTCTGGGTAATGTTGGTTCAGACGTCTTTGACCTTCGTTTCCAAGACTGAGGTAAATATAGCTTCTGACTTTTATGTCGGCTTCCTCCCATGGTATTCCATCGACGGTGAGTCCCAACTGGGCACATTGGTTATCCCATTGTATCTTTTTCTCTTTGTTACGAATGTTCCGGTCCCTGGTTTGTGATTGAGTTTCCCCTTCTATAGGAAGTTCATAACCAGGCTCTTGCGGTTTTCTCACTGCGGGTGGGTCTCGTAATAGCTTTTGCAGGTTTATACCATCTTTTGCGAGAATTCCTAAGTAGAGTTGCTGATTCCACTTCTCCCACTCCGTTGGAGGTTCCGCCGAGGCTTTTTGCCAGAATGGGGCAATACCGAGTGGGTTTTTTGTTGTGAGTGCTGGCTGCGCCATGTTATACCCTCAGCCGTTAGGTGAGGTATACACTGTGTAATCTATGTAATCAAAGTCTATGCTTAATCGCTAACTGAGAATAGAAATACGAAGAGTTAGAGAGCAACTTAAATTCAGTTAATAAAGTTAAGTCTGATTCGAATCTGACCTCGAAATCATGAGAGAGACAGAGACTCATAAATAACTATTGAATATGGTGTTAGGTTTAATAGGTACTTAATTTAGATCAGACTTCTATATGGTTCAGTTTACAAAAGTATATATGGTTAGCATCTAGGATGGACGTATTGTTTTAGTTAGACATAGTTCTAGTATATCCGAATGGATAACAGTTCCGATCGATAACTACTGTATCCGTATGGATAACAGAAAGTTTGACGAAAACAGAGTCTTCTTAGTGCTTCGAGAGAGCTCGGAAAATCAACTTTTTTGATTTAAAAAGAAAAAAAATCGGCAAAATTATCGAAATCATTCTGAAATCCCCGCTCGAGAAAATCCTAGATCCGCCCTGCTGATAGCTTAAACTTAAATTAAGTTCGATTTTTACTGAGTTCACATGCAGAATAGCTGAATTTGAATCCATTTAAATATATTTTTTTGTGATATAATATTTTGGTAGAAAAGGGATTATAACCTATTATAATAAATCGGCTCTTTTCTAGTTTCCCCCCTTTCAATTTCAATTTTGAAAAATCTATTCAACGTTGTCACAATGCAATGAATTTTGGCGTGGTGAACGAATCAACAATTCTGAACAGATTTGTTCTTCACACTTTACAGCGTAACTTCACGCATTTAGCCGTAATAACACGTAAAACAAATATAAAACTCGTTATTTTGAAAGGGGGGGGGGGAGGATTATAGATCGTTTAAGCATCTAAAATTGGCGCCTATAATCATTAAGATTTTGGTAAAATTACTATTATAAATATAAAATAATCGATTATTTTCTCCTTTTACTGATTGCGGGTGGCTTTTGTTCTAGTCATAATTTTTGTAATCATTGAATTTCAGTTGTACGTGATACGTGCTGTTCATAAAAGTAGTAATCAACTATGCACGTGCTTTTATTCCTGTTTGATACTTACACAGCACACTCTTGAAAATCTCTTTACTGAAAAAAGCACAGCAACTGCAGAAGCTGAATCATCGATTTTCAAACTAGCACAAAATGACCATGATCATACTTAAGTTTTATTACTTCATTAGCAATCGGAAAATTCCTATCTTTGTTTTATTATTTCTCCTTGTACTATCAACAAAAATTTATTTGACTGAGAAAGATGCCAGAAATGATCAGAGAGAGAAGTTTATACCGTTATATTCACTTTGAAACGTTTTTTTTTTCCTTTTTGGATCCATGTGGAGCTCGGTGCGGAACGTTCTTCTTTTTCGATTTCGAAAAAAAATTCAACAATCTTATTGATAGATTTTGGCATAAAAATTTATCGCAAATTGAAAATCATCAATTTTAAACTTTCGATCCTTTTTAAATAAGTTATCGATGATTTAATAATGGCATTATATTGATCTGTTGTCTTTTTCAGTTTTATTTGCAACTATTTTTGTAGTTTTTCATTCTGATGTTCAAACTACATCTCTTTCAGGTCGAAGAATAATGAAGACTTTTGATTGTTCGAGGTAAAGTGACTCTTCCCTCTTTCGAGGCAAAACATGCGGTTGATTTCAGGCCGAAGAATAATGAAGACCTGGTTTGCAGTAAAGTGACTCTTCCCGCTTTCGAGGCAAAACATGCGGATGATAATCAAGTGTTTCTACTGGAAACTACAGGCTAGTTTTTTTAGTAATCTTGTTCTAGCACTCTATAAGTTTAAATAAAGTTCAGCCACAATCAAGTTTTCGTTTAAACCCTTAATTAGTTATGTTATTATAAATAAACGGCTGAAAACGGCTTCGAGATGATCTTCGCGCGGTTCTTTAGCAGAGCTTTCTTAGAGATACTTCAACTCCCGTGAGCAGTTATTTTTTCTCTCTTCGTGAATTGGTCGGGTTTGAACACGCATTGAACACGCTCTTCGCCCATCACCTCTTCTGTCGTTTCAGGTAACAAGTTCCTGCGTGGCCGCCAGTGCTGTTCGATCGAATCAATAGCACGCAACTCGGGTTTAGTTGCTAAGGTCATTTTCAAGTCAACGGAGCTTGACCTTTCTGAAAGTCAGGGCCTGTGTGACCTCTACTTTAATCAAAACAACGTCCAGTTTTATACTCTGAATTTTGCCGAGTTCTTCAGAAACTCTCCTGTCGAAGGCTTGCACGAAAAAATAGAGAAAGCGAAGGTCAGTCACACCCATTACAGTAATGTGCTGCGAAGTCTTTTGCAGTATCGATTCGGAGGCTTCTACTTGGATTTGGATGTGATGATTTTGAAAGACATAACTAATCTGAGAAATGTGATGTCATTTGAGACGGCCTCACATCCAAGCTATGTGTGAGTTGCCTCATTTTTAATGAAATTTTCTTTTAAAATCACACATTAAAGCTACATTAGCCGTTACACAGAAAAATAAATATTGGAGATTTTTCTCCGCAACAATGGAAATTGTCTGAAAAACGACAGTCGAAAACGAAAACGTTTTCATCCGACCAGAAAGTATACTTGTAGACTATTCATGCTTGATGGGCTTGATTGCCACATACGCAATTTTTTTGGCCCTTGTTTTTTCCGAAAAACTAACTGCAGCGCAGAATTTTTCGATACAAAAAGACCTTTTCAGAGTTTAAAGAGTGCTTGGAAAACATTATTCAATATATCATAAAAAAATATTCTATCCTGTCAATAGTTCTACTCTTTTAGAGGGAAACCGCATGTTAGCTGCAACCAACCGAATGGCGTGTCTATTAAGGGCCAGAGTCGCTTAGAGAATGCTATGTCTCATGGAGAAAAGGGGCACATTTTTCAATACACTTGGTTGAGCCTCGCAAACGAAGAATTTGACCCGAGCACGTGGGCCTGGGGTAGACAGCCGCTTTTGACTGGAAGGGTTGCGAAACAGCTGCTGAAATCATGGGACTCCTTAAGTCTCGGAAACTTCACAATTTACAATACTGGTAAGATCACATTTTCAGGCTGAAAATACATCTCTTCAAAAACAAAACTTTTAATTTGCATATTCTGAATTGATTGTTACTTTTTATTTGTTCTGCGCTTCAGGTCAACAATACCATATCACTATCATACCCGAAAAATCCTTTTCTCCTGTGCATCATAGGTAGAGTTCTGCGCAGATTTGGAAAATTCAATCATTAGGAATATTCGAGAAAAAAAGATCTTTGATATTAAACTGATAAAATCGTTTTGATTTGGATCATTAGAATTTTTCATGCACGGTTGTCATGCATTAAACACATTTCGTAAACACATTTTCGTCATTGATGTGTATTATTGCTCTTCTGGCGTTCTAATAGAACTCAACAAGGCAAAGGAAATATAATAGCACTAGCTATCACAACGATTCCAATAGTCATCAGTACGTGCTTTTCTCATGAAAAAAGGCCAAATCTGGAAAAAATTGAACCAGGCAGATATACCTTAAATCGCAAAAAAAAAATTTTGGAACACTGATGTAAGATTATGGCTGCCATAACCTTCGGGCAGCCGGCAATTTTTACAATTACTTTAACAACATTTGTGAAAAATCTATCAGAACTCTACCTTTTATCTAGCCGATCTAAGTATCTGTTCACTGCTCGTGACATGGCGCCATCAGACTGGGATGAATTGTTCAAGTGCAGCTACGGAGTTCACTTCTGCTCGCACAATACTGGAAAACACCCATTAAAAGGAAACCCAACTAGAGAAGCCTATTCATACCTCGGGCCTATGCATTGTCCAAGAAGTATGAAAAACTTGAAGCAATTCTGAGAACTCGAACTTTGTCACAATTTTGGGCTAGGAGGTTGAGCAGTCCAATTTAAAATGATTTCTACTATATGCACTCCTTCTACCTTTCCCTTTCTAGCTGACAAATTAATTTGACAAAAAATGTCAGTTACTAACGAAAAATCTACAATTTGAAAGTTAAATGAGTTTAAACTATAATAAGGCAATATTAATTAATGAGAGAGCATATGAGTCAAGAAACGTTTAAACACATGATCATTCATATATACAAAACCGGAAGCATCACCATTAAAGTTTGTACCAAAATCAAATGTGCAATACAAATACAAAAAAAAATCACACATGCTTGAGTTTGAGTCTTGCATTGGGCGCCTTTCATTAGTTCTAAGACTTGATTGAATTTCTTTTTTGAAAGTTGCATAATCATTTTTTTCTGTTGCATATTACAGTAGTATGTGTCCCCGGATAATTTGACTTTTAAGCGTTTACAATCATGAAGACATTGTTGAGGTGGAAAAATGTTGGTTACAAATACTCTCCAAAAAACTTAAATTTCAGATGCTTGTTTTTAAGAATAAAACCAGATCTAGAAAAGTACCAGAATAAAATTTTATTCATTTTCAGACTGCTGCTTTTGTAAGGACGTTCATGGTGACTTTGCGGTCAGATGTAATGAATAAATTGGATGAGCCTACACCTCAAGCAAAATTTTCAACGTTTGAAGTCGAAACGTTTGAGAATTGAAGATCGAGTGAAACTTAGCTGCCTGTAAATTCTGGATACAGGAAGTCTTGAGCAAACTGCTGTATGGCAGTGAGGTCGAATCGCATAAAAAAGCGCAGCTGGTAGTTATACAGAGTGATTCCAAGCCTATAGCACAACAAACCTAGCGCTGGTTGTGTCTTGAAAAAGAGACGCTTCTGATCTTATGTACCAAATGGTGTACTTGCTATAGGCAATAGTTACGTCTCAGAGTAATCTGTTGCAATTCAAATTTTTAATGATGAAAATGATTTGTTCTGTTGGTTTCAAGAACGCATCATGAGTGTTCATTGCTATAATAATATGTCTCACAGGTTCACCAACAAAAATACTTTTTTGGTTACCAACTTCATTGAGCAGCTGGTGAAAGAAACAATTTGGTAGCTTATTTTTGACAAGGATAGTTCGCAGAAATTTTGAGCAAAGTTGATTCAATGACAGAGAGCACATGTTCGGTCACGGTCATTTTTCTAACATCTAGGTTAGGTTCACATACTTGAAGCTGGTACTGCTTTGCAGCATCTTCAGATAAAACTCAGATATCTTCAAGAGAGCGTCTGTAGGAAAGTCCAACAGTAACATCATTCAACAAATGTTTGTCATATGTGGAAAAAAACAACTCCAGCATTACCATAAAACCAAATTTCCCTCGACTCGCAATACATTTCTGAATGAGATATAAAACCAGCGGCATCTACTGCAATTGTATCATTTTCATAACGATAACCCTGATACTTGAGCCATAAGCCCGTGACTTCTTTGCTTTCAGAAATATGTGCTCCAATAAAATTTTTGTAGAGCAGCTATGATTAGATAAAACTGAAGTAATTCTCAATCAAAACTTTTTAAAAATTTGAGATTTTGAGTCAATTAGCAGAGAGGGCACAAGCAGAAAAAATGGAAAGCAAGGAGTTATTCACGAGGAACGGCGAGTAAGACACAGTAGGATTAGTTTTTTCGTATCTCAGATCAGCTCCTTTTGCCTTGTTACTTGCCCTTGTTTTTCCAACAAGATTTCTTGCAGGTCAACAAATTTGTGACGGGCACCGGTGATCTCAAAATCAAAACATGTTCCATAAGGTGCATAGACCGCTCCAAATGTTTCTAAAATGAATCTAAAGAAATATGGATAGCCTAGTTGGGTAACAATTTAGGGACCAATTTTTGTGTTTGCGAAAATATCTGCTCGACATCTCGCTGGTCTGTTTTTTCTTCAAATGTTTGTTTTTCTTTTCCGAGAAGAGCATATGTTGAAGCCAAATCTTCCGTGGGGCGGATAACCCCATGTATTAACATAAACTAAAGAGTATCCGGTCATCCCCCTAAGTATTAACATAGGGAATAGATTTCCCAATGCTTTAGTATGGGGAAAAAATTTCCAATGAATTAAGATACCAGGTTTCAGGTTATAAGTTTCAGATGGTAAGTTTTTTTCGGTGCCCGAGTTTCCCATGTATTAGGTTAAAGTAAAGATTTCCCTATGAAATAAAAATTTATTGTAGGGAAATAAGAATTCATTAAGATAGGGAATAGGTTTTCCAATGCAATAAGATAGGGAATAGAGTTGGTGAGGTTTCATGGTTTGAGTGATGGTAAAAGAATGGTAAGAAAACCGGTATTGATTCATTTTTGTGTGAAATGTCTAGTTTATTGCAAAAATTTTGGCGCGTGTTACCTAATGGGTATATATTGTTGGTGTGTTATGTGCGAATAGATTTTCCAGTGTATTTCATAGTTTCAGGTGGTGAGATGGTAAGTTTCAAAAAAATATTGGAACCCGATTTTGCTGATGTTCTAGATTCTAAATAGTTTCCCAAACAAAAAACACAGTTTTGTTAACCCGAACGTAGCGTTTAAAAAAATTACTGAGAAAATGTTTTAATTTACAGCATCGTACACAGTTTTACTATACAATCTCTTACAAGTTTAGAGGTTTAGTACGTATTTCATCACATTCATCTTCCCGTTCAGGAGAAAAATAGCTCATCATTTTTTAGTTTGTTCATAAGTTGCGACTGCATGGTTCATTGTTTTGAATCCTCTATCCGTTTACATCAAATTCACTGCTTCATCCAGTACTTGTCAATACTTTGCTATCGGGCCATCTCCAGAGTCTTCTAATGCGCTTTTGTTCTGTCCTTTACTGCCAAATTTATACTTTTGACTTTCACTATCATAACAACAATATGTTTTACTACACAGGCATACCATTTTGGTGCGCCTTAACTCCTCGTGAACAATCCTGGTTCTCTCTTGTATCGTTTCTTATGTTTAGAGCAACAAGTACGGGGGAACAGTTGTTTTTTGCATCTGCTATGAAATCGTTTCGGCATTCCTTGCTTCGCTTTTCAGTCCATTCTGCTCCCTTGCTGGGAAGGATACAATCGTCTAAGTTTTCTCCTGCCAAAGCCAAATAGAGGGATTCTGTATCCATTTCGAGTTCTTCGAACTTATGGACATCGCAAAATTTATCGAATAGTTATAAAACAGCTCTAACCTTTCAACTTGGCATACTGTAGTATAATGTCCTTGCTATCGGGCCATCCAGTCCTTGGCATACAGTCCTTGCTTCGCTTTTCAGTCCATTCTGCTCCCTTCCTGGGAAGGATACAATCATCTAAATCTTCTTCTGGCAAAGCCAAATAGAGGGAATCTGTATCCACTTCGATTTCTTCGAACTTATGGTCATCGCAAAATTGATCAAAAAAATTATTAAAACAGCTCCAACATTTCAACCTGGCATACTGTAGTATAGAGAATCCTACTACAACTTGTTCACGATGCTCTATAGTAGATTTAACAAGCTCCACTCCATACAAATCTTTAGCTACGATTTTGAGTCTCTTGATGAACTGGTTCTTGATGCTTAATTAGTTTTTTCGTTACCAGATATTTTGTCATTGTATGTTTTAATGTGTTCTCATTATTTGATAGATGTAGGAACTTTTTCTTAGAAGCTTTATTGTTTCGGCTACTACACCAGATAATGGATTTTCATCACCGGATCGCCTAGCATCACCAACAGACTGAACAAAACCGTTGAAAACTTCACGCGGTGTCCATTGTACAAATTGATGAATTTTTGTACACTGTAGTCGGAGATCCAAGTAAAAATTGAAAAGTGGTGTGATAAGTGTTCCGTTTGTCAAATTGAAGCTCGATATCAACATTTGTTGCAGTTGTTTTAAGAAGTCGTTTTTTTCGCCTGTCTTCTTATATTCCTCAATATCCTTTCTGGTAAAAACCAATACTTTTGCAAATAGGTGGGAAACTAGAAAATTTTGCTTTTAGCTCATCCGGAACACTCAAATTGCATTGCACGTAGCCGAACATTGTTTCATTTCTAACGTTTAGCAGTTGTGATTTGGTAGAAAGATGTATTTTGAAGGGAAATTGAGTTCTAAAGTGATATTTCACGTCTACGTTGTTTTTAAATTGATCGCACCAATAAGTTACACTCTCACATGTCTTCTATAGATGATCTTTTTTCTCGAATGTAATCATTTCGAAGCTCATCCAATTCTCTTTTGTTGGTTCCGCCTTTGATATCATCATCAGTTAGGCTTGGTCTAGCTTCTTGACAAGGCAAAAATGGAAACAACAATCCTAGTGTAGAAACTCTCAATTTTGCATTCAGTTCTGGTTGCTTGAAAATATGACTTGAAATTTTTTTCAAGCCTTCGAACTCGATTTTGTGATGCCTTGAATGTTTGTGTTTCTTCATTGTAGTCCCATCTCGTATACAAGCCTGTGAGCATATCCGGACACATAGAATAAGGATAGAGCTGACTAGCATCAAAATCAACGATTGATCTACACAATTTGTTTGGTTTTCGATTTTGAAAATAATTGAGGGACCACCGGTCATATCTTCCAGTATTTTTTCAAGCAGCTCTCGAAAAGAATGAAAAAAGTTTGAAGTCGGTCGACTTGTGTAGACAGATAATCGCTAGATTAGGTAATGTGCAGCTGAGTTTTAACATTTCTATCCCTTTGTCATGATAAAATTCAATCATTTTCTCCATATTTTCGAAGGTAGGAACAACATATTTGTAGTTTTACCACTGTAGAAAATCTCAAAAAATTGAATCTGTTTCGGATCCCTGATGGATTTCAAATAGTTGTTTTGTTTCAATCCCGTAAGTAGTTTGATTTTAAGCCCGAGTTTTTTCAAGGCTTACTTTTCAGTTAACCCAGTTTTGAGAAGCTTCTGAAAATCGTCTACCTCTTTATCGAGAGGGTTTCTAATCTTCAGTTTGCTGTGGAAGTCATCAAACCACTCGTATGGAAAGTATACTTTCATCTCAATGGCTTTGTAAGTTTTTA